GAGGGAGACAGAGAAAGAGAGGAAACATACCTGAAATGAAAAAAAAAACGGAATTGATGTTACTTTATAATGATTTAAACACATTTTTAGAAAGAAATATTGCAGTTATATAATAGAAATAACAGTGAAAATAATGGATGAGTTTTCATAAGCTATATAATTTTCTAAAGTATTGGGTCTGGTAAAACGAAACCGATAGTTTTTACATTAAATTTAAGGTTTTTTATTCTTTCAGCAGTAAATTTATTCGTCGTAGCCAAGAACAGTTTACTGTTACTTGATGCGAGTTCTAAATTATAAGGTGGATGCCTACAATTATACCAATCGAGCTCCGAGAGCTTCATGCGAGGCACTACCGGTGCGTTTGCCTCGGCGGGTTCCTGATTGTAGGCAATTCCTGTCCTATATGCCAGACCTGACCACTTCTCTGCGATTGCTTTCTTCAGACGGGCCAATAGCTGACAGCACAAAATCCCAATTCCATCAAACATCAGCCTTAAAAATAGAAAGGCATCAAAAGTATTGGTTGCGTCCCATAAAAGCCTCCTGTAAAGGTTTTGCCTGGTTGCAAGAGTTCATAGTATAATACGACGAGCCACCAAATACACAGCTGAACTTCGAGCCATGCATGTTGTCTTCCACGTTATATTGGCAATTTCTGTGAGTTTATCTGGACTTAGTTACATTTGCATTGGCTAAGCACGACCGTTTCCGATTGACGGATTAACGTTGTCGTAAGTGACCCACGTGCCATCATTAGTAATTATCCGCTTTAGAACCCTTCCCACGGCAGTCGGGTCTACATAACCGGAACGGACACGGATTTTTATCCGGCCAAGGACTGGCAACTCTGCAGAATTCTGGCGCTCCAAAAACAACAATCCAATTTAGCTCCTGAGCGATCCAAACAATGCTTCTTAGATGACGGTCGAACTTGACGATTTGCATTATTTTACCCATATTTTCGACCTGGGCTCCAGAACGTAGTGCATCTTTGACGAAACCAAAATCCTATAGCATCAGGGCCGTCTTGCGCGCCTTTTCGCTTCTATCGAAGAAAAACTCCAAAATAAAATAATTTTTCTTTACATTTCTCCATCTTTGATGCGGGCTCAAGCAATACTGATTGAAGCAATCACAAAACCGTCTAAGATGTGCTTTTAGTACGTAACCTTATCTATCTAATGCCATATTACTTACTACAAACACACTTTTACAACGCGAGATACAGATAACTAAAGCGAACTATTGGAAAAATAATGGATTTGTTTATACCACACAATAAAGGCTGTGATAAGGGCTGTCAAAATAAGGTTTAATGATCATCGAAAATCATTTAGTCATACACTTTTCTACACCTCTTAAACAACACCCTCTATGTATATAAACACACAACTATTGAATGAATTAAGTCGCTGCAATTACTACTCGTAATTTAAAATTGAAAACAATATTCAAAAATAAAACAGACAGGCACGGGCTGGACATGCTAAGCTAAGAACAGAGGCTAAAAGCTATCGTTAAAGTCGACAGACTATCACCTACGCGCTGCTGCGAAACGTGGCATCACACCATTGATACCACACACAGAGCGCCGCCGGATAGATGAAGCGATGGGGTTAAGGCATATTGGTTTACTCAATAAATACAGGCGTACCAGATACGGCATTGAATCAAAAATTTATGACACAATGTTATATGTAATTGAGAAACTCAATGTGTGACATCGCCGGACAGCGTGAAAGTAGCTTCCTGATAATCGCTATAATAACTCATACCATAACCAATTGATAAGAACGGGCTATGCACAACTGCAAATTCATAAACATAAAATATGATGCACTTAGCATACAAATTGCAAAAGGCATTATACTGTCAATAGTAAAAACAAAAAAGAGTGAAACCTTTAATGGAAAAGTATACTCTTAAAAGTTGTCACGTGTAATACTGCTTAGCAGGCCAGACCATAAAATATGCACTGAAGCACAAAAATTTAAAAATTTTAACATGGCTCGCCATTACCAAATACACGGCAACAAAATGAAAAATATTCGAATTTCTCATCATTACTTGTTTACAGCAAGCGGTAATTCCACAAAGTGCACAAGATGTTCTCGGTTATTTCCCCCACATGCCGCAGTACTAAAGAATTTACATAACCGACCTCCAACAGCCGTTATGCTCCCTTCAAATTGTTTTCGGAAACAGCTGAGCGCACACGAATACGAGTTAATCGTTTGGGACGCAGAGCGACGTTGGAAAAATGTCGTCTGTCATTCAGTGTCCACCGCCAGTCGTGACTTTGCGCTCGGCCGCTGTCCATTTATGCCATGACATCGCTTCACCTCCTACCTGGAGCAACTTTGACGGCTTATGTGCATTGTAATTTTTCGCTTGAAATCCATTTTTATGGCATAAGCATAGGCGCCAGCGCTGCCCATGCATAATTAAAACAAGCATTCAATTCAGCAGGATTTACATATGCCTGTTTGTGAACAGATTTTTTTGGCTTGGAGTGCTCAGCGCCTGCTACAGTTTTAATTATTTGCACAAAAATAAACACATAAGCGGATTGAACTGAAATTGATTTAGGGCGGCATGTCGGTCGTGGGCGGTTGCTATAGCATACATGCCGGCGCTGTGTAAATATGCGTATAATTTGGAGTTTTCGGAGAAGCGTTGTGCATTTTATTGATAAATTAAATTTGAAATTGGAATATCCGAATTAATCACGATTGAATTGAAAGTTAAACCGAATAAATTTATTAATCTAATCAGATTTGATGAGATTTTACATCTAGTAAAGCTACTATGATTAAAGCTTTATTATATAACTTTTTCATTATTACCTTACATCTAAAAAACAAATTCATTACGGTATTTTATTAATAGTTATTACAAGTCGGTATGATAGGACATGGCTTAGAAAATGGAATACGGACCAAGATATATGCTAGACAGAGTGGCTAAACAACCGTGCACCTAAGCCTTTAGGAGGCCCATTGTGATTCCACCAGAGAAAAATTCCCTTCACCCTATTCAATCCTCTCTCACACACCTCGTGTTTCTGTTGAAGTTCATCAGCACGAAAAGGTTTATCTGTACAACCTCGGAGTCGTCGGTTATTTCCATTTCCGTCGCTTGGCTTCCACTGCTGGCGGTTCCGAGCCACATCAGCAATTGATTTTGCGCGCGTCTCGTCATAGCTTACGATCTTTTAGTTGACGGTGTCCAGTTTAAAATTGAGTAAGACTGTTTTCGCACAGTCAATGTATTCTTAAAGCTCTTTCATTGGCTGCTGCTTGGATGGCAGTTGCAGCTGCACCTTTCTCAATAGGTGGGCAGCACGTCGCTTCTCTGCATACCCTGCCTTACGTTGGCCTTCCACCTTAAAACTGGGCCATTCTCTGGCAGACATACTACAAGCAGCAGTAATTTTAGAATCTCCCTCCTCCACCTACTTAGCAGCCTCACTTTGGCTACATGATTAGGTACTGGCTGCTTCCGGTGCTGCTGTTTGCAGGGAGGCAGCCGTAGGCTCAACTGCCAAGATGGGACTATCATTTGCCGCTGAACCAAGCATTGGTCCTGCCTTTGCGCTGGCTGTTCTTGAGGTGGTTACAAACACTGCTCTCTTCTGGAAACAACTAGCCTCCTCTGGCCTTTTTTATCGGAGATCCGGACTTATTTACATGGCACCTTGATTCATCCCTTTTTGTACCCCCAAATATAGTCAGAGAGACTCCTATCTGGAAGCTGTGTTATTTAGGAGCATCTACCTGGTGCCCAGGTAAGAAGTCTGACCTTGGCTAGTTATCTCATTACTACAATAGGGCGAACAGTTCCTAGCCCGTCTCTGCCTACGTCATGGTAGTGGGCTATACATTAGCTGTTGGCGCCCTCGGCGAGGGATAAGAGGAAATTTTCGTCTATCTTCAAACATTGAGCTGAAAAGAAATACTACTTTTTTAAGCTGAATACGAAAGCCCTTTCACTTCAGTATGGGCACAGCATATGGAGTGTTCATAAAAACCCAAACACGTGTTAGAAATTATCAAAGACGTGTTTGCTCCGCATTATTCGAAATGTTTCGGAAATTGTAACTCGCTCTTCAAAAATACAATAGAAATGAAATAATAACAGAAATAATCGATCCGAATACACTTCATAGCTGAATTTCACCCATTTCATTTACTTTTATTTCGGATTTTTTGCACTTGACAATATTGAAGCGCTTTTACCAGACTGCTTTACACTTTTTCTCATTTTTTCCATTGTACTCGTTCACTTTGAATTGAAAATGTCGAACATGTGTGCGGATTCTCGCATACATTTCCATCGAAGGGGGTTTATGGGCCGCTTACGCTGATAAGCGCCAGCGTGAGTGAGTGATAGGCGAGCAATGGCGCACAACACACAGCACACAATGCAATATTTATTGACGTCCGTTGGGGGTGTGAAAAGAAAGGCTGCTAACCCGTACATAAGCGAGAGAGAATGGCAGAGCAAATAAGAATAGCAATCAAAGCAAGCAACGGACATAGTTGTAAAGCACATTTCACAGCTGTTGCATATTGAAAAGGGTTCAATGACAGTTACACTCCCCTTAAGATGAACGCACACTGATGGGCGGCCAAGCGTTGGGATACAGAAATTTGTACGTGCAATTCCGGGCAGCAGCGCCGGCTTTTGTAAAGCGTGACAGGAAGGTGATAATGGCGATAAGCAAGCTAATACATAGCGCTACTTAAACAAGTGTTGAGGCGCATAAAACGGGCTGCGATACACAAAAAATGCGAAAATTAGTTTGGCATGCCCGACTATCCATTCAGCTTGCAGTCTCACTTAATCCACATAAACAAGGTTGGGACTTGTGTATGTGTAGCTCACTATTCATTATCAATATTTAATTAATTATTTTCTTTTTCTGGAATTTCAATTACAATATGTACTTTATTGTGTATTTAATAGAGTTGTTTCAATTTGCTTCGCATTTAAAAATATCTGTGTTATCAGCACGAAGACTAAGTGAAATGATTTCCCTCAGTTGAGGCGACTAAGTCAGCAGCAATGCCAGCCACACTGTGACAAAAGTTAGCTGATAAGACGCCAGCGCAATAAATACATTTCATATTTCAACTGTCTTAGACAAAAATATTTACTTACATAAAATAAATCTTCAGTAGCAGTTTTATAGCTTAAGGTGTCGCAGGCACTACTCTGTTAACTGTGTGAAACCGAGTCCACGTCCAAACTATTGTGAAAGTGCACGAAGTGAAGACAAGAAATGACGCAGAAGCTAATTATAATTGCCTTTATTTGCTTGCTAAGCGCTGAGGTAAGACTACTTTGTGCAAATATAAAATTATATACACACATACATAAATAAATAAAAATATCTGCTTTCCGTGCCGCAGCTTTACTTCTGCGCCCACATAGCACGCCAGCCGCGTAGCGCCGAGAGCGAGGAAACGGTGGTCACAGAAAGTCCAGTTGAGAACCCAGCGGAGCATCGCTTCATTAGCAGCGCCACACGCGAACAATTCGAACGCGAGGCCTTGAATGAGACCAAAATTTTTCTGAACACCTTATTCCGCTCGCAAATTGTTTATTTTAGCAAGGTAAAGGAATTTCTACCGGCCACAGTGAAGCGCGTAGCGGATATAAATAAGTATATTGAGCGCTTGGAGAAAGCCATTTTGGCGGACTCGGTGCAGGAGAAGGACAAAATGTGGCGTGACACTTTCGTTGAGGCACCTAAAATTTGTATATTTGTTTCTGTATCACTATTTCATAATTTCTTGCTTTTTAGTTCAGCGAAAGTGCTTTTCTACTCAATATTGAGAAGGATACTGGTGTTTCAAATATGCGTTATCTGGAAATCCTTAATGATGCCGGTCTGGAAGAGACCACAAAGAAATTCTTAACCGATGTGACGATATACTTTTGGAAAATGGCAAAAGCGAGCGGCAAAGTAGTGGAATCAACTATTGAGGAACAAATAGAGAAATGGACAAAGGAATGAATTACACAAAATTTGTGAAAATGTATGTGAAGAAGTCTGAAACTAAACACTTTGTTGATCGAAGTACAAAAAATCAAAAATATATTTTAGAAATATCCATTTATAGCGTTAAACTAATATTCCCTAGCATTTTGCCCGTATCTTCTCTTACGGTTGATAAAAATTAAAAATTTCTGAAAAAAAGTAGAGTTTTACTAAAAAACTTGATCTTTCGATTTATTATCAGACTGATGAGTCATTGTATGGAGAGCTATATACGTAGTGTGTCTTTTAGGTTTTGGCAACCCTAGTGTTGCATTATGTCTACTCACAAATCTATCATAAACTATGATATTTCTTACGTTGTACGTACTGAGAAAATTTTGACATACGAGTAGTCTACAGTTACTTAAAATATTCATCTCGGCATTTCATCATTACAAAAATAATTTTTTAAAACTTTCTTCAAAATCTTTGTAGATTAACACTTTTGAAAATTTTTTTCACTTGCACAAAAAACGCATTGTGACAGATGATGAATCGTAGATTTACTTGTATAGGCATGAGCCCGAAGGTAAACAGCAGTCGACTGTATGTTGTTCGAGCAAAAAGCACCTTCCACTGAAAACACAATAAGTTGATTTTCGGTGATTAATATCCAATACTTCTGCAGCCGCCCTACTGCCCAGATGTGGCCTCCGCACTTTTTTCCTTGCCTTAAAAGGCCGATGAAAGGCAAGCATTTTGAGACGACAGAGCGGATATCTCAAGGCTATTCCGGATAATACCTGCCGTTACACCTGCAATGCTTGGAAGCCTATTTTGAAAGTTTTTGAAGAATAGTAACGATTGCTTCAAAAGAATTCTTTTAATTTCCGGACAAACCCTGTACTCTACTATAACAGAATAACTAAGCAATATTTATCCACACACGATATAATATCTGCATGTTTAGATATGCTCCTTTAACGCCTTCTTGTTCTGAGGTATCCGCAGCGCAATGGTTAGTGCGACTGACTGCCACGCGAGCACACCCAGGTTCAACGCTTGAATCAAGGATAATGTGTTTGGAGAGAAACCATAGCCAAGGTTTCTTTGACAGGAGGCTCAGAAACAGATTAAAAACTGGCTGTCTGGCTTACATGACAAAGAAATTTAGGAGCATAGTGCCAAACAAGCTCGTAAAATGCTCACAATTGAACGTCGGAGTTGTGAACACGAGTGCGAACGAATCTGAATCACGGTTGTAATTACTAGTTAAGCTTAAAAATAGATTAAAAAGATTATGGCAAAAACGAAAAAGGAAGTAAAAAATAATATATTAATATGTCAATATTTTTTATCGCAAAAGACCAAAACCGGTCTATGCGTGGCTCATTGCTCTTCCAGACTTAACCTAATTTAATCCGTAAATCTTTAATTTTAATTAAATCATTCAAAATTTAAAAAACCTTTCTAGTATTTATATAATCAAATTTGTAATGCATTTAAACAAAATATTTCTCTCCACAAATTAACATGCCCCAAAGTAGTATGAACCCACACGCGACCAGACAACAGATAGCGTTGAAAGATTGTGGCGACTTGAATTTGGTACGCTAACCAACTACACGACCAAATAACTTTTTGTGGTAATAGAAAATCCCGAATATGAATGAAGCGAATTGAAATGGCGCCGGTGAAGTGGCACTTCACTGCCGCGCCAACGTCGGTCTTCCATGCCACAAGCCAGAGGTTATATTATATAATATCCAGATATATTCAAACATACATAGATATGCTGTCCACATATGCACACGAATGCATAAAATACACAAATAACGGAGCATAGTTCGCGTCGAGTTCGTACAAATATGACTACTGTTTCGGTAGGTAAGTGCCCTGTGCACAGCGGTAGGTACGGTTCAATTAATGTAATTGAAGTTTCTAAATTTTTGTTTAGCTGTTGGACGTACGCTTTCGACATTATTTAAATGAAAAAGTTGTAGTAATGTTTTTCATGTTGATTATTTTGATTATAAAAAAAACCGAAAGTAGGAAGCTGAATAGGGAGACGATAATAATTTTCTAGGCAAATTTACGATCTATCTTCATCTACGATGGAAATAATATTAAATTAGACAATATACCATAGAGGTTGTATTTCGTAATCGGAAGTTCTCGTATAGCTCTAAAATTTCAATTTTAGGGGCTTCGATTTTGGAATTGAAAATGATTTTACAATCAGAGTTGTCATGAATGTCAAGCATCGAGGAGAGAATGAGGAAGCCGTCAGTTGTTTTATGTTGTTGTAGAAAAACGATTGGAGTAAGGTGGGTCCTCTCAACAAAATTAGTGTTCTGGTTCTATGAAACCGCAGCCAATATTGTTTTACGGGGTCGTTATCTGGTGGAAGGTGCTCAAAAAAAACTACCAGCGGAAGAGCGAGATGCAGTCATGTTGTTTTTTTTCGTCGTTTCGTGGCCTGTGCCAGACCAAAATTGAAGTATTTCGATGGTAACACTTTTGGAGAACCTATCGTAATGGCTGGAATTAATATAAAGCGACTTTATAAATTTATGGTAAGCTCGAAAAGTTTCGTTGATTTCTTAGGCGGTGCAATTTAAAGAGGTTTTGGGTAACATAAAGGACAAAAGTTTGATTGGTTTTGGACCCATCCTACGACCTAACCTAACGTGACTCTTTATTAAAACTGCATTCGATTCAGTCATCGCCAATAAAATTTGTACAGTTTCCATTTCCACAACGATGGTTCGATCTGGTGTAGAGGTGGTCGAAGATGCCCCACGCTCCGGAATGCCTGTCGTCGAAAATTGCGATAAAATCGCTGAATTGGTCGAAAGAGACCGGCATAGTAGTTGTCGTAGCATCGGTCAAGAGCTGGGCATAAGTCATCAAAAAAATTTTATGAACAATTGAAAATTCAATAAAAATACCGCAAGACTTTTTTAACAACCTAATATATTGTCATTCGGCAGATTGAGATTTTTTCTGAGGTAAGTACTCTTACTCTGATTTGTAGTGAAATGAAGACAACTTCGCGGACAACTGCGATTGTCAGCTGTCCTGTCTTAAAGCTCAAACACGATAAAGGTTATAGGGAGCTCTGTGATTATGCCTCACACAAATTCAAAGCCAGCCTTGTTACTCTGCAGATTCAAGTGCGTGAAAACACAAGCATTTTCGGTATTCAATATAATTTTATAAAGTCTTAAATATCGAAATAATATTATGGGTTCCAGGGATCCCTTGCACATAGCTTTTAAGTTTTTATATATGTAGGTTTACGAGCGTAAGGTTGTCATATTCGTAAAATTTAGCTGCGGCATTGACTTTGAATGCCAAAAATAAAGGTCCTGTTGCACTGCCAAAATCTTAAACACACGTTTCGTTGTTGTCATAAAAGGTTTGTTGTTGTCAATATAATTATCCGTTATTTCGTTTCCTTCTCCTTTCTTGCATGTTGAAATGCTAAGACCCAGCGCGAACATACACATATTTACAGCATTTTCCGAGCTCCTAGAGCTGGCTTTCATTATTAACGCATTTTTATAGTGTGCTTTAGGTCGTTGCATAAAAGCAGACTACCGAATCCACTGCGTGCTGCAGACTCCATGGCGTGGCGCATATGTGTGTGGTTGGTTGCGGATATTGCAAAAATATTTCATACCAAAATAAGCACACATGAACACATGATATGGCTGGCGCATCTACTTGTAAGTAAACAATTTAGCGCAAGAAAGCGAGTATATTTCCCGGTATTGCGCCATTTTTTCACATAACTACTTGTGAGGCTTACTACAGCGTAAACGAAAAACAATGTGAAATGTGGAAGGAGTCCCACAGCAGCGCTGAAAATTGCGGATTCGACGATGCGGCATATCCTGCGGTCCGCTTGCCGCAGACAAGTCGTGCGAAGACACGCACACAAAGGCTGTTAGATGCCACAGTCTTCAGTCTTCCATTGTGCAAGTGTATGTTTTAAGGTCTCTGACAGTTGCGTGCTTGCTTGGGAGAACCAGCCCAAGCAATACTTCATATACAGTAGCTTATGGGAACTTACACACATTCTTACATGGATTTTTATTTTTCGCGCATAAATTTACTTTACTTCCTCGTTATGCTCTCACCTCCGGCGCCCTTAGTGAAATAAACTTGTAAGAAAGCTGTGTAGAAAGGTAAGCGAAAATACTTTTTTTATGTCGTTGTGTGTGCTCTTCCCTGGCATATTTTAATATTCGGTTGCCAAAAACAGTAAAGGACTGCAAATTACGCATCATTCTTTGTTTATTTTAGCGATTAGTTCTCATTCTCCAGATCGGAGCTGAAAGTGTGAGTTGTGGTTATACAATGTGCCAATACAAGAGACAAACTCTGCGTTTATGTCTGGTGTAAAGCAGCATGCCAAAATTGTGTGGCGAAAAGCGTAAGTTTTGTCAGGCTGAAACAAGTTACTTAGTTAAGAGTCCTTTGAAATATAATAAAAGGTTTATCAACAAGAACGACGTGATGTTAAAACAAAATAAAATACTCAAAATGGGTTCTTTTTTTTTGTTATGCAGGTATATTTATGATCCCGCAAAACTAATACGGCTGTGTAAACTGACGTTGAGAAATACCAAAAGCAGAATCAGAATCGGTAAAACCCTCTCCAAGCCGTTCGCTACCAAACGAGGTTTCAGACAAGGCGACTCCCTATCGTGCGATTTCTTCAGTCTGCTGTTGGAGAAAATAATTCTAGTTGCAGAATTTAATCGAGCAGGTACAATCTGGTATAACAGTGTACAGCTGCTGGCGTACGCTGATGATATTGATRTCATTGGCCTCAACACCCCCGCCGTTAGTGCTGCTTTCCCCAGAAAGGACAAGGAAGCAAAACAAATCCTGTCATCTGAAAAATAGTCTTCGCACTCGGGACAACGCTGCCAGGGCACTACTGACAGTCATAACTTCGAAGTTGTAGATAATTTCGTCTACCTTGGAACCAGCAGTAACAGCAACAATAATGTCAGCATCGAAATATAACGCAGAATAACTCTTGCCAACAAGTGCTACTTCGGACTTAGTAGGCAATTGAAAAGAAAAGTCCTCTCTCGACGAACAAAAACCAAACACTCATTAT